GATCTAAGCTATTTGAGGAACAATACGTAGTTTTGAAAAACTCGGCAAAGAGATCGGCGATGGTCTGATCAGTTTGCTGTAGCGTTCTTGAACGAAAGCGATGACATACAAGGACATACTGCACCCTTCGGTCAGTCTGCGTAGTCTGTGGAGACTTCCACAACTCCGCACACTGCCCTGCGAACAAAGAAGATGCCAATACAAAAAAATTTGGAAATTGTGGAGGAAACCATACAGCTAACTACAGAGGCTGCGTGGTCTACAAGGAGCTGAAGAGTCGCATGCGACGAGCGATAGCTACACGCCAAAAAAAATACACAAAATGTGTATTATAATTCAAAAACTACTACTACTAAATACAGATGTATTTCTTGCCAAAGCAGCCAGATCTTCCCCCCCACGGGCATTTTCTACGCCGAAGCTCTACGAACAGGTATGCAAAATCCACTCCCCTCAAACTCAGTAAACGCGCAGCAGGTCCCAGGGCAGCCACAAAACAACCTGGTGACCATGCAACAAAGTATGATGAAACTCATGTCTTTTATGAAAACGACCATGTTAACGCTTGTCCTGAATCAGAATATGGTGATACAGTTGCTTGCAGCACAACAGTCGAAATAATCAATGTCCAATCTACGTATATCCACGTGGAATGCCAACTGCGTCTTACGGCATAAACTTGAACTAACACAATTTCTAAATGAAAACCACATCGACGCCATGCTACTGGTTGAAACGCACCTCATAAGCAGATACAACTTTCATATAAGAGGTTATATCTTTCACCGCACAGATCATCCAGATGGTAAAGCCCACGGCGGGACCGGCATCCTCATCAGAGAACGCACCAAACACCATTTTCACCAAAGGTTTGAAACAAATTACTTGCAAGCTACGTCCATTAAAGTGCAGTCAGGTAACGGCATCCTTTGCATTGCTGCTGTCTACTGCCCACCTAGCTTTTCAATCTCTGAAGGCCAATTCATGGATTTTTACAACTCTCTTGGAGATCGTTTCATAGCTGCAGGAGATTACAACGCCAAGCATACGCATTGGGGATCCCGCCTCGTGACCCCCAAGGTAAGACAACTGTATAACGCTCTCATCAATGTGAGAAATAAACTGGACTACGTTTCCCCTGGTAGCCCCACCTATTGGCCAGCAGACCCCAGAAAGATACCTGATCTAATCGACTTTGCGGTGACAAAAAACATCCCACGCAATCTAATAAACGCCAAGGCCCTTCCGGACCATCTACAGATCACTCGCCGCTGTTGATAACCCTCCTTCAAAGCCCAGAAACTACGGATCGCTCTCACAGGTTGACGTCGCACAGAACAAATTGGATGAAATACAAAAAGTATGTGAGTTCCCACATAGAGCTAGCCCCCCAGCTCAATACTGAAGCCGACATCGACTCCACCACCTCCGCTCTGGAAGAGGTACTTGTGACTGCAGCCAGAATCTCAACACCACAACAGAAGGATGTGCAAAAAATCAAATTCAAAACGAACCAGCAGATTGAACAGCTTATCCAAGAAAAGAGGCGGTTGCGACGGGCGTGGCAAAACAATAGATCGCCATGCTCAAAGCAACGTCTAAATGTAGCCACACGCAAACTAAGCCGGGCCCTGAAGCAGGATGCCGAAAATGCACAATTAAGATATATTGAGAAACTTTCACCAACCAGCACAAAGCATCCCTTATGGAGAGCTCACCCAAACTTAAGCTCTCCGACTGAAACCATTACCCCGATTAGAAAATCATCTGGTTGTTGGGCCCGCAGCGACAAAGACAGAGCCGAAACTTTTGCCTCACATCTCCAGGGCGTTTTCCAGCCGAACCCTGCAGCACATCCATTTGAACTACCGCAAAACCAAACTGAAACGGAATCTACTCCAACATCATTTCGACCGAACGAGATCACGAAGGTCATCAGGGAACTGAAGCCGAAAAAGGCTCCCGGCGATGACCTATTAACTCAAAAAATGATAATTGAACTTCCGAATTGTGCTATTGAGGTCATCTGTAAAATCTTCGATGGGATCATAAGTCTCGGCCATTACCCAACTAAATGGAAAAAATCTATAATTATAATGATACCGAAGCCCGGAAAAGACCACACGATTCCGTCATCTTACCGACCAATAAGTTTACCACATGACAGTAAACTTGTCCAAGTTATTTGAAAAATGCCTACTAGAGCGCATAATTCCTTATCTGGGAGCTCACAATATCATCTCATCAATTATTTATTGATATTTCTCAAGCATTCGACAGAGTCTGGCTCAACGGCCTCATGCACAAAATTAAAACACTCTTGCCTGTATACACACACAAATTACTTGAGTCGTAATTAAATAAATATAGTTTTATTCCCTGAAGCCGTGCTCGGCTGCGCAGTTGGCAGGTGGGAAAGGTCACGAAGCCGACCAAAGTCCGATCCCCCGCGTAAGCGGTGTCCCATACAAGAGACGTCGGGGACCGAGAAGGGGCGATATAACCCCCGTCGTAGTGCCAGGGGGAAATCCTTGGCCAGCGTGGGAGCCCTGCGCGGACCGACAAGCCGGCCATGGTGCAGGCAAACGGAAAGTCCTACAGCGAGGTGCTAGCCATAGTGACCAGGAGGAGACACAAGCAGTTGTCGGCCCTGTGTCTGCCTGTGTCTCCATGAAGGAGAGCATCGAGAGGGTGGTCGGTGACTCCGCGACTGTTCGCGCTTCGACCTAGGGCACGAAAGTGTTTGTTCTGGAGATACGGAACATCGACTCCATCACCTCGAAGGAGGAGGTAAGTGCCGCTATGGCAGGCCAATTCAATTTTGAAGTTGAACGCGTGAGAGTCCGGAGCATGCGCCGTGGCCACTTAGAGACGCAGCTGGCGGTGGTCAGCCTGCCCGTCCCATTGGGCAAGGCAGTTCTGCAGAGCGGCAAGGTGAAAATCGGATGGTCGATGTGTAGGATCCTAGAAAGATCCGGTCCACCGAGGTGCTTCAGATGCCTGGAAACCGGGCACATTGCGATCCACTACAAGAACCCGGTGGATAGGAGTGCCTGCTGCATCAAATGCGCAGAGTCGGGCCACAAAGCAGCCAGATGTGCCAAGGAGCCCTCTTGTTTCCTCTGCAAAGCGGCCGGTAGCAAGGACACAAGGCACCAGGCAGGCAGCAGTAGATGTCCAGCCGCTAGCGGAGGGGATGGGAACAAACAAACGAAATGCAGCTAATTCAGTTAAATCTGAAGCACTGCAGGGCCGCGCAGGATCTTCTGATGCAGACGGTGCGCGAACGCGGCTCAGAGGTAGCCATCCTCAGCGAGCCTTACAGGACAGGAAACAGTCAAGGCTGGGCCACGGACCGTACTGGCAAAGCGGCCCTGTGGCTATGCGGAATAGGTGCGCAGCAGATGTGCGACATCAAGGCGGCCGACGGGTTTGTCCGAGCAAATGTTTGTGGTACGTGGCTATACAGCTGCTACCTGGCGTCCAGCCTCTCGCTGGAGTCCTTCGGTCGAATTCTGGATGAGTTGAGCATCGACCTCCGGGGACATTGCAACGCGGTGGTCGGTGGCGACTTCAACGCCTGGGCTATCGAATGAGGATCTGCCCGGACAAACGCAAGAGGCCTCCTGAACGAAGGCTCCCGGCAGACCTACAGCAGGGCAGGCGCCACATTCGTTAGCAGTGCGCTGGCCCGCCACGCCCGCTGGAGGATTGGTGAAGTCTACACTGCCTGCGACCATGAGGTCGAGTGCTAACTAAGGATGGCCGGCCGACCTAGTGGCCCCCGATCCCCGCCAAGAAGGGCGTTCTGACAGGAGACTTTCAGACCTTGGGCCTTTGCAAGCGCCCTTGAGGGCTTCGCAGTAGACGAAGCTGATGGAGCCAACGGGATGGCAGACAAGCTGACTGACGCCATGGAAGACGCCTGTGACCAGAGCATGCTTCAGAGGAGGCCGTTCCGAGGAAACCGCCGCCCGGTTTTCTGGTGGAGCGATGAGATTGCTGAGCTACGCCGCATCTGTCACCGCTCCAGAAGATTTCCTCAGCGAGCAAGAGGCTGCCCGCTCCTTGTAGAATGCAGCGAGCGGTATAGCGGGAATGCTTCCTCAAGCTGTGTGATGCCGCCGAGGATGATCCATGGGGAGGCGCGTATAGGATGACGGTTAAGAAACTGAAACTGGAAAACGCCCCATCCGACCCGGAGGCGCTGGAGGGGATCGTTAGAGCCCTATTTCCAGATGATCAGCCGGTCGAAAACTTCCCAAGAGCCGAGCCAGGAGATTTCCGCAGCGTCACGGAAGCCGAGGTACTGCAGGCCGGGAGGAACATAAAACCCAAGAAGGCGCCGGGTCCGGACGGGATTCCAAGCAGAGCGACGAAGTTGGCTCTAGCGTTGCTGCTGGAGCAAGTGGCCGGGCTTTTTAACAAATGCCTCCAGGAAGGTACGTTCCCCGTAAGGTTGAAACAGCAACGGCTGTTATTGTTGGCCAAGCCAGGAAAGCCGCCAGGAGAAGCATCCTCCTACAGGCCAATCTGCCTGCTGGACATAATAGGCAAAGTCTTCGAGAGGGTGATCGCACCCAGGATGACAAAAGCCATTGAAGCAGCGGGCGGCCTATCCCCCGAGCAAATCGGCTTAAGGAAGGAAAGGTCTACCATGGACGCCATTATGAAGGTGGTTAAGGTGGCTAAGGAAGCCATCACTGGCTCCAGGTGGAAAGGAGGAACGAAATCCTACTGTCTAGTGGTAACCCTGGACATTAGAAATGCGTTCAACACGGCTGATTGGGGCCGGACACTGGAGTCCCTGAGGATGTTTAACATCCCTAGCTACCTGTTGAATATAGCGCTAAGCTACTTTAGCAACAGAGTGCTCACGATGGACACATGCCTGGGTTCCAGAGCATACAAAGTCTCAGCCGGAGTCCCGCAGGGCTCCATTTTGGGACCCCTACTCTAGAACGCCATGTACAATGGAGTTCTGAGACTCCCAATGCCCAATGGGCACCAGCCTGGTTGCTTTTGCCGATGACGCCGCCATAGTGGTGGTAGCCAAGGAGCTAGCCATGGTGGAGGCTCACGCAGGGTTGCAGCTGGTGGCCCACAAGACGGAGACGGTACTAGTCTCAAGTCGAAAAGCGGTGGAGAGAGCTAGCGTGAGGGTCGGTGGAACCACGATACGGTCCCAGCGGGCAATCCGGTACCTCGGCGATCTTCTAGACACGCGCCTGTGCTTCAAGGAGCACCTGGAATTTGTGCACAAGAAGGCCAGCGGAACCGCAGGAGCTTTATCCAGGATGCTGCTAAACACTAGAGGGCCGAAGCAGGCAACCCGGAAACTGCTCACGACGGTTGTGACGTCGCAGATGCTGTATGCAGCGGCAGTGTGGGCGGAAGCCGCTAAGGTAAAAAGCTATGCGCGAGGGCTGTAGGTAACCTATAGGCTGTGCGCCGTCAGAATCGCGTGCGCCTTCCGAATCAATTCGGAAGATGCGGCGCTGGTCATCGCCGGACAAGTCCCGTTGACGGAGCTCGTTCGGGAGAGGGCGGAGATCTACGCAGCCGCGCAGGACAGGGAAGCAAGTTGCTAGTCTAGGTCCCTGTCCACCACCTCCAGCTTGGCCCCCTCCCACAGCGCCTCCAACTGGCAGACTGCTTGAGTCAGCCACTTTCTCATCGGGTCATCCATGCACTTCAGGATTTTGACCGCATTTAGCTACCCAGCACCATCAAAGATGGGCATGCGAGCTTCGGGATCTTCCTCCATCCGTGCATATAATGACTCAATGAGCCGCGCATACACCATCTTCCACCGCGCCTCGGTCATCTTGCCGGCTTCATCGCTTCTGTCAATGAGTGCCACGATTAAATGTCGGTTAGTCATTTCACTTACGTTTGCGGTCTCTTTAAGCTTCTTCACTTTTTGGGCGGGGGCCTGGCTTCTTAGGGCCGCGTTGCCGCTTGCTCCCCGGTGCGTCCTTGTATTATTAGTAAGCGACTCCTCCACCTTGTTGGTAAATCTGCCCGTCGAGTTCATGTGGGGGAGTTTAGCGAAGTGAAGTCTGCCTTCAGCCATCCTCTTCTCGGCCCACGTAAGCTTTACCTTCTCCTCTAGGGATAGGGTTGCATTTTTCTGTTCGTGAGTACGCGATATATTCATAGGGATAAAATCCTAATTACGTAACGATACGTAAAGCCGCAAATATGTGTCAAAAATCTAAAAAATCATCAGTTGACATTTCGTTTAATTTCTGCGAGAAAATTTAACTGAATTCTTCCATCTTTTTTTTTGGTTGTGCTCTACACGTTTTTTATAAATTAATAAAAAATGGGGAGCAACAATTTACACAAGGCACTGCACGCCTTCCTGAGCGACACCCTCTAGGAGAGCAACAGACAGGCATCTCAGAGTATTTTACCCTAAATTGGAATCTCTTCCTCCACGGTGACGACGACGACGTTCTCCACCACGACGACAACGGCCACTATCACTTCGGCTGATCAGACCACCCTTAAAACTGCGTCAAGGATATCAACGGCACAAAACGACATCGAGAAAACATGAACCTCCCGCCAGGCAAGGGAAAGGTTATATCTGTAGTCGCAGACCAAAAAAGGAGTTGCGGCGAAGTCTTCTGAAACAAATACGTCTACAAAACCGCAAACAGACAGACAAAAAGAACACGCTCTGCAGCAAGCGTTGACAAATTTAAGAACAGCGCAAGCCCTGAATGCCTTGAAATCTGCAGCACTCCCTCAATGAAGGGGAACCGCTCCTGGGGAACACATTCAAAACCCCCAGCCGAGCTGGTAGACTGTTCAGAGGAGGATGACCAGCAAGAGACGAGCCCCAGCTGCGGAAGAAGTGGCCACTAAGGCCAAAGCCAGCAAACCGCAATCTGCGAACAAATTCGCCCCCCTAGACCAGATCGACACTACGCAGGACATGGACTGCGAGGAAGAAGATGATATGGAGGAGACCTCCTCAGTAACAGAACAGAGGGCTGCTGCCACTCAGCCAACCGCTACTTCCACCGCCAAGCCGAGGCCAATCACTGTCCCAAACGTCAACAAAGTCAAGGAGACGGAAAAGGCGCTTCTGCAGGAGATAGAAGAGGACGGATTTGAGCTCCTCACCGCTCGATCTGGCGACCTGCGTATCTACGCAAAAGACTCCCACACTTACCGAGCCATAACCAGATTCCAGTCCTTCAGAAACGTGGTATACACACATTTCTGCCTAGACAGAAGTTTTTGTCTGGTTTGTAGACCTCAAACAAGCTCCCAACAACATGGAAGCTATGCTGATTACCAAGAGACATCGTGTGGCCACTGAACCTAAGAACGACAGCAACAGGTTGAAACGGCGCTACAGATGCTTGGGTTCAACTACACGAAAAACTACTGATTCAAGTCGCCAGTTTGGGGCAGATACGCGGAGGAACACTGACAGGATCGGAGACTTGCAAGACTGCTATCATTGCTGACCTATGCTGTGCCAATTCTGTTGACAACCATGCGGCATACGACAAAAAGTGTCGGGTTTTCGCCCTACAACTTTTTCGATTAATTCTTTGAGATTGTCGACACATCTTTAGTAGACCGAATAGCTTTACTCGTATTTTGCATATATATGGAGAGAGACTTGCTATTCCTGGTGTGCCCGGAGTTGTCTATTAGTCTTAAATTTATCAAACGTTCCCTAGTTGCAATAAACTTCCTTAAGGCAAGATTACTGGCGGTTTAAGCCATTCTTAAGGTCACTCCAGCCATGGATGCCATACGCCCATAACAACAACAACCAGCTGCGTCTACGGGCGCTTACGAAATACCTCCTGGATTCAGGCAGGCAAACTTCAAGCTGCAGGATGACTTCCCGGTCCTAGGAAGCCGAGGTAGGTCCCGCAATGCCCCTCAGCCGCCCAACTCAGACCCAGACTGGGACATGACGCGGGTAGCGGCTATGCTTACCAGCCTCAAAACTACAGTGGAGCAATTGGTTTCCTCCTTAGCCACGACCTCTCTGGTGGAGAGAGACTGCAACGAGGAATGCCTACGACTCATGGATACCCTTAAATATATGGAATGCCACACGTCTCCTTGCCAATCGGGAGGAGCTTCTGGTGTACCACTCAAGGCACAGCATCGACATCGTGCTTGTGTCTAAGACCCACCTTAAGCACGGAGTATTCCTTAGTATTCTTTCTTCCACAGAGAAGACTTCCCAGGTGTGTCAACTAGAGGTGGAGCACCGAGCCTAGTCAGAAGCGGACTGATAGGTGGCGATGGTCACACAAAACTCTCCCGTTGGAGACCTGGATGTGGCAGCGATTTATCTGCCCCCTCGTCCTACCTGACTTTGAGGCTCTTCTCAACCTCTGTGGAAATAAAGATGTAGATGACGCAGTCTTATTACTAGAGGAAAAAATTAAGGCTGCAGCAGACCTGTAACAATATTGGTAGCTCCGCGATGTGTCCCCCTACATTACCACCGTACATTAAGGCGCTCATTGGGACCAAGCATAGACTCAGGAGGAAGTATGCAAGGAAGTGCTAAGGATCTGCCGCAGATTGGGCAATCGCGTCAGGAAGCTCTTGAACAACCTACGTCAGGTGCGATTGGAGAAGGAGCTGGAGGAGGCAACTTTGGATAGAGACACTGATTTTGCGCTCTGGAAACTTGCTGGTCAGAACAAAAGGCAGGCCACCCCTAAGTTCTTAGTCAAGAAAGCGGATGGGACTTGGGCCAAGTCTCCGATGGACAGAGCTGAAGCCTTCGCAGAAAGCCTAGAAGAGCGCTTCACTCAGTGCCTCCCTGGACGCTCCACACCAATTGGCGCCTCCAATCGCCCAAATCCTGCTTCCAGAAGTACAGGCTAGGATCAAGAAGTTAAAGAACCGGAAGTCGCCTGGACCGGATGGCATCTTCAGCCGAGTTGTTAAACTCCTTCCGGTAAAAGCACTTCTCTTCTTTGTCCTAGTGTACAACGCTGCCAAAGTGGTGATGATCTACAAATAGGGGAAGACCTGTCATGACATAGGGAACTATAGGCCAATTAATCTCCTGTATCCACAGGATACAGCGGATACAGCGGATACCGCAGGTCCTTGAAGCGATTCCCAGGCACCAATTTGGGTTCCTGAAAGGCCACGGCACCCCCGAACAACTCCACCGAGTAGTAGACTTTATTGTCGAGAAGTTCCAGAAAAAGCAGTACACGGTGGGTGCTTTTCTGGATATCCAGCAGGCCTTTGACAGGGTCTGGCACCAGGGGCTATCTAGGGTCAAAGAGCTTCTGCCACCACAGCTCTACGGGCAGCTACGCCATAGATAGGAGCTTCCAAGTGGTTCAGGGCGCAATCGCATCTTCAAGAAGGGGGATACTCGCCGGTGTCCCGCAAGGAAGCGTACTTGGCCCCAAGATGTATAACCCTGAGATCGGAACGCCCATGCCACCTATGCAGATGACATTGCAGTGCTGGCAAGATCAAGCTGCACCTACAGTGCCACAGACAGACTTCAGATACTCCTGAAGAAGTATGAGAACTGGCCGTGTAGATGGAATGTGGCCATCAACACACCCAAGTGTGCGGTGGTCACATACACCCTGAGGAGAGACACGTGTCCAGGTGTCTTTCTCCACAGTCAGCTCTTCCTACAACACATGGGGCACAGATACCTGGAGAGGCTGACGTTCAGCTCGCACGTCAAGACTAGGGTTAAGCTGCTGAACACCGCCAGACGCCTAGGCTAGTTAACCAGCCCTACGTATAAGCTTTGTCTCGAATGTAAGACTCGCCTCTACCAGTTCCTTCTAGCTCCGATTTGGCGATATGGAGTGGTGATTTACGGCACAGCGGCCATGACGCATCTGAAGAGGATTTAGGCGTTCCAGGCGAAGTTCCTATGGCGTATCATGGGTGCGGAGTAGTACATTAGCAGCAAGGACATTCGCAACGAGGTCCGAGTCCCTGCAATTGGAGATGTCATAAACACCCTCTCTGCCAGACATCGAAACCGACTGCTGAGTCACCCAAACCCCATGGTCAGAAGACTGACCTGAAGTGGAACAATACGGCGGCTTCAGAAAGTCACCATCCGAAAGCTACCTACACGGCGTAAACCTAAAGAAGGAAGGCGATATAACACCGAATCCCGACAACAACTTGTTTTATAATAATAGTATAGTAGATCATAAGTTGTAGCAGTAAAACTTCTTTATACCAATAAAAACTATTTTATATTTAAAAAAAAACGAGAAAAAAGAAACAATTTAAAAATATCTTTGATCAAAAAAGTAAAATTCACTAATTATGATTTTTATTTTTGTTGTGCAAAATATAACTCAACTGAAAATAACGGGTTCCGTTTTAGACTTTGCAGCAATATTATTTCATATTCTTGTAGATTAACCGCAAAGCTACCCTACAACACCTATGCTTATAATTATTAATGAAGGGAAATAAGAAAAAAATACGATAAAAAAAACCGGATTGCACTCTATTGACCGTGCAATCAGCATTTTTTTGGTATTGCAGGGTTACAGAAGGGCATACGGAAATCAGACTTACCCCGACTGAGCAGGATCCA